TTTGAACTTTGATGTCATCACTCTGTTTTATCTGCACGTTTAATGAATATTCATGACTACCGTATTGACCCGAATATAAGACGATGTTTTTTTCTTGGAAATACATCTGAAAAAACGCGGTCGTCTTATATTCAGGGTCTAGACTTTGACATGTCAATAATACATCCACAATAATAGGATGATATGCCAAATAAGCATAAAACCAGTGTGCCATGAAATACACAATGTAATGCGTGTTGTAAAGATCGTGAGTAAAAACTAAAGAAAAAGAAAAGCTTACAGCTGCATGAGTCACTCACGTTAGCCTGATGGGACCAAATTCTCTTTGTGATTTTAAAACATAAAACAGTACCCAGATTTGAAGACTACGGTAAGATTTAACTTCTACTGTTAATATGATTTTGGTAGGCTACTATTAGATGGATAGCCTAAATGTCCTAATTCAGATGGGCTTACCTGTTTTGTTTTTTATTTTAATGGTATATCAAAAAGTGTATATTTTTTAACTGTGATTGTTGGTACATTTGACCAGTTTTTACCATACTTTCAAAACAAAAATTAAAATAGGAAAAATATGCAATATGAAAATAATTGAAGACAAAATGTTTTTTACTGAGAAAAAACAAGATTTGGTTTTTAAAAAGCCTTTTTCCAAAAGGTACATCTGGAAAAAGGGGCATCTTATAATCAGGGTCGTCTTATATTCGGGCCAATACGGTAATTATTTATGTAGGCCATCGCTCTTATCCAGGTCACATCATCTATGTATATTTGACCCAAAAGCAGAGAGAGATTGTACTCGGTGTTCTTGCTTTGCTTTGAGGGCATCAAAGAAGGGTCATTCTGTGGCACTTCCCACAACACACAACTTGAAACAAAAGAAAGAAGCAGAAGAAAGAGGTCCACATTTGTTTTAGCAATATTGATCATCAGACTAAATATTCTCTCACACTCACTAGCTCACTATCAGCTAATCAATAACTTGCATTTTTTCATACCTCCACAAAAACTACTAAGAGCTATTGTATACAGGTTCATAATTAATATGAGTAATGCATAATGTAAATTAATTTTAAAGTGAAGGTCATGGTAACCCACTAGTTATGACTAAAGTATTACCAAATTCTTCAGAAGGAATTACTAATGATCAGTATTTTAAAGTGAATAACATGATTAATTCTCTAGTAATGACTGAAATCATTATAAGCTTTTCAGGTTTTTCTAAGGTTCTGGTTGGTCATTTGTTTTGCTAGATTTAGTAACACTTAAATCAGTACTAATGGGTTACCGTCACATTAGAATACTGATCCAAATAATTAGTCATTTCTTCAGAAGGATGTAGTAACACTTAAGTCATTACTATGCAGAACCTTACATATAACTCAAAAGCTTACAATGACGTCAGCCAATATTAGAGAGTTATGATGCTTTTCACTTTAGAATACTGATCCAAGCAATCAGTATTTCCTTTAGAAGGATTTGGTAATACTTCAGTCATTACACACATTACTAGTGTGTTTTCTTTTAAGCCATTTGGTTTTTGAGGACGCAGGAAGTGCAAACCTCATAAACCATGTTCATGTTGCAATACTCATGCCATTATACACATAATACTGATAAAGCATGTATTCAAGCACACACACAGATCACAGATACAATGGTTTTCCACAGAAGTCAAGTCAAGTCACCTTTATTTATATAGCGCTTTTAACAATACAGATTGTGTCCATGCGTGCGTGCGTGCGTGTGTCCGTCCGTCCATGTGTGTGTGTGTGTGTGTGTGTGTGTGAGTGTGTGTCAAGTCAAGTCAAGTCACCTTTATTTATATAGCGCTTTTAACAATACAGATTGTGTCAAAGTGTCAAAACAGCATTAATTAGGAAAATAGTGTCAATAATGCAAAGTGACAATAGTAAACACTAATTTTTCAGTTAAAGGCAGTTCATCCCACACCTTCCCCACCCTGCACTAAACGTTCACATCTGATATCAGTTCATATAAAGAGTGATTTGTATGAGCCGTTCAGATAGTGAGGACCGTTCTGAGTGTGTAGATCATGAGGAATGATCTGACTGCTGCTGTGAGGAACTCATCTCTCTCTAGTGGCTGTTTGGTGTCCTTCACAGCTCAGAGTGTGCCAGTGTCCTGCTGAAAGAAACTAATATTAGCATAGATGCCATTCTTCTAACAATGTAGCAAGTACATTGGGTGTTGGAATCGGATTTGTTCCCGGTTCCGGTTGACCTAATTAATGCAGCCTAAAAATCCTTTAACAGATTTGAATATTAGAAGCATATTAGTGTGTTATGTGTAAGACAGGTTAAAGAGATGGGTCTTTAATCTAGATTTAAACTGCAAGAGTGTGTCTGCCTCCTGAACAATGTTAGGTAGGTTATTCCAGAGTTTGGGCGCTAAATAGGAAAAGGATCTTCCGCCCGCAGTTGATTTTGATATTCTAGGTATTATCAAATTGCCAGAGTTTTGAGAACACAGCGGACGTGGAAGACTATAATGCAATAAGAGCTCAAATACTGAGGTGCTAAAACGTGCAAATGCTAGAAATGTGGCTTTCTAAGGACAGATTGCTATCAAATAGCACACCTAGGTTCCTAACTGATGACGGGGAATTGACAGAGCAGCCATCAAGTGTTAGACAGTGTTCTAGGTTATAACATGCAGAGTTTTTAGGTCCGATAATTAACACCTCTGTTTTTTCAGAATTTAGCAGTAAGAAATTACTCTTTTATATATATTATGAAATTACTTTTTTATATCGACTATGCGTTCCATTAGTTTTTCAAATTGGTATGTTTCGCGGGGCTGGGAAGAAATATAGAGTTGAGTATCATCAGCATAACAGTGAAAGCTAACACCATGTTTCCTGATGATATCTCCCAGGGGTAACATGTAATGTGTGAAAAGTAACGGCCCTAGTACTGAGCCTTGAGGTACTTCATACTGCACTTGTGATCGATATGACACCTCTTCATTCACTGCTACGAATTGATGGTGGTCAGATAAGTACGATTTGAACCATGCTAATGCACTTCCTCTAATGCCAACAAAGTTTTCTTGTCTATTCAAAAGAATGTTGTGGTCAATAGTGTTGAACGCAGCATTTATGTCTCCGTGTGTGTGTGAGAGAGAGAAAGAGAGAGAGAGAGAGAGAGAGAGTGTGTGTGTGTGTGTCCTAGAGGCATTCAGAATGAACTGGTACTGCCAGTGAGAAGAAACTCCAGGTGAATCCCAGCAGCTGGGTGACATCATCTCTTATGTGAATAACGCATCTCTTTGTTATGTGAGGAATGTGGTTTGTTCGCATGCATGTGTGCACACTTACTCTCAGTCAGCTGTTGCTGTGAATCTGCATGTTTATAGAGAGAGTGTCTCTAATAATGTTGCTTTAAACTGAAGCCAAGCGTCACTGTTGGTGCTGCTCATACTTAACCAGTGTTGTGGAGTAAGTTACATGTAACGGAATTACGTAATTTAATTACAAAATAAGGTTACACTTTATTTTAAGGTGTCTTTGTTACAGTGTAATTATACATTTAAGTACTGAGTAATTTAATTAACTACAAGTACTTACTATATGGTTTGGTTTAGGCTACTAATTTATTGGTATTATAATAGTAAGTACATGTAATATGTGTAACAAGGACACCTTAAAATAAAGTGTTACTCAAAATAAATGAAACTGTAATCTGTCACAGTTACTGAGGAAAAGTTATTTAGTTCAATTACAATTACTTATGAAAATGTTAACGATTGCAAAGGGGGTTACATCTGAATATTTTCACACACATACACATTTGATTGATTTCTTTCCCAATTTGCATTGACTGCTCTAAAATATGACTCACCAATGTTTCAGGAGTTTAGGACACCCCCCCCAAGGCTTTGTTTGATGCCAGTGTTTCCTGTCACAGCTATGCAAAGATTTTATTTCAAAAACTGTATCATATCTAATAAACTATATATTGTTATGATTTTAAATCAGCATTTAATCTCAGAATGACCTAAAAGTAAAAAGATGTGCTAAAGTCTGATTTTGTGTTGGCTGTGCTTTAAAATTAAATTATTATAATCTTCATTTAAGTGATGGAGGATTTTTGAAAGTCTGACAGTAATCAGTGTTGAGCGTTACTGTAAGGTTAACCCTGCCTGTTTTACGTTTCAAAATGATTAACAATTTAGGATTTTTTTTTAATTAGAAAAGGAATCAAAAAGTAATCAAATTTAATCAGTTACATTACTTTAATAAAGTAATTGAATAGTTACACTATACTTATTAAATTTTAAATAGGGTAACTTGTAATCTGTAAATGATTATTTTTCCAAAGAAACCTTCCCAATACTGTAAGCTTAGTGATTGGGAACTAATCTTGAACTTAAGTATTAAAATTAATACATGCTACAGACATGAAGGATCCCTCAAATCATGCAACTTGTTGAAAAATGTTGTGCTTTTCTAAGCGGTCTGACTTATTGCTAAAGATCACAAAATGAGGAGCCTAGATGTGGAGGTTCAAAGCTAGTTCGAAGCATGTGCTGTGCTTCCTTCACTGAAAACAGTACTCACTGACTGAATGAGGCCTGCTGTTATATAAGCCAGCTCTCACCTAAAGCACAGCTTCATCACGCTCTCTCTCTTCCATTGAGAGGAGTTCTGGCAGTTTCTCGTCTGCCCCTCTTATGCACCCCATTTCACTTCTGCGTGCTCGCACACACACACACACACACACACACTCACACACACACACAGTAGTGTCACGCAGCAGTTGTGTGGATCTGCAGTGTTCTTGTTCATGACGTCTGTATGCACTGCTTTTGTAACTGAAGGCAAAGCCAGTCATTAGTCTGGACACAGTGAACGGTTATGATTGGTTTTAGGGTCTCTGTCTGTGATTGGTTGAGGTTGGTAGGTCACCATAACTCATTGGCTAAGCTCTTGAAGCCCCTTAAACCCGTGAATGAATTTCCACATTAGTTGTCCAACAGTGTTTTAATGGCCAAAAGAGTCCCTCTGAGACAAAACCCTTCTCATGGGCTCTGGCTCTCTCTGCCTCTTTCTCACACACACTAACCGTTCACGCTGAGCTTTTGGGTTTTGCATAGCCTGTGTGAACTCCAAACACTTGCTTTCTCAACTCTGATGTTTCCACTGCAGCTCGACGGTAAGTTTTCAGAGCGCTGTCAGAGCCCAGGCCCACATGGGCTGAATTACTCCTCATCGTCTTCGTTTGAAGAACATGGACACTTTATTTTCTCTGTTGATCATCATGTTGTAATGGAACAGCACGGACACTCTCGATACTCAAATCAAAACTCAACACACCTGAGTGAATGAACGCCTCGTGACTGTCTGCTGGCTCAATGATTTCTCCAATGGACATCATTCTCAACCTGATAACACCAGACTCCTCGCCATCCACCTCCCCCACCAACACCGTGAGTTCAGTGTGTGTGTGTGTGTTGTCAGAAAACGCCTACATTTGGCTGAATTACACTTATATTACACTTAAATATAAGTGTCATATTACACTTGAAATGTGCATCAGTACTCTTATGATATGTACATATTATAAGAAAACTGTATTTGACCTATTTTATGGTTTGTGTGTTGGCTTGTTTTCGCTCAAAAGCCATGATTTGCAGTGCCGTCTCAAAACTGTATGACTGACTTTCTTCTGTGGACTGAGGTTTATCTTGTTTAAGCTGCTCTTTTCCATGAAAGTGAACAGGGACTGAGCCTGTCAAGATCCAAAGACAATAATAACGTCCTCTGTATGACTTGTCTTCTGAAGACATTAGACACAGTGTGTAATGTGTTGTTCACCTGAAAATGTGGCCCATAAATCTGTGTGTGTGTGTGTGTGTGTGCGTGTGTGTCTGTATATGAGCTCAGGTTAACATGTTCAGTTATGTAATTGTCCACCGCTGATGAATAAGGCATTGTTAGTGGCTCCAGTCTCCCTTAAAGCAACAGTAAAGAGGATTTCCACCTTTCTGAAACTGGCCTTTGTGTAAATATGAAGGGCTTTTACAGCCATAATCCATAGTCCTTACATTTCTCACACAGAAACTTCCATGCACTTCTAAAGATCTTTAAAGATGAATTTCCTGTTATCACTGATTAAGAATGAATAAAAATCATTTTATTTATATTGCATTTAAAAAGAGCAATTTCTAGCCAAAGAAGTAATTTACAGTAGATATCGAATTCATTCTTTTCCATGACTAACTTTTATTAGATTTCAGATTTTTTTAGACTAGATCTTAGCCAATGCCAGTTTTAAATCAGATATTCCATGTCGATAGGAACACCAGTTTTCAGACTTATTACTAAAATACGTAGGCCTAATATATTTCTTGATCAGAAGGATAGTGCAAGTGTCCTGACTGGCAATGTAAACGATGCATAATCCATTATAACCCCAGCTAACAGGGAATGCTCTCACTACTTTTTAAATGTGTGCTATTTTAATGTTAGGACACAATGCCTGAAAGTAATGTTCATGGAATTTTCTTATAACCGTATTAATGTTTGCTATATGTTTTTATACTACATTATATAACATTCTCAGAACGTCCTTATGATGGAATTTGTACTTGAAGGGTTTGTAAGCTTTCTAACATTCTGATCACAACAAGAAAACTGGACATTATAATGATCTTACAATAATACACATAACCATTCAAATAACATCATATTTTAGGTGAAAATAAAGTTTGTAGAAAATTGTAAGAAACATTTATGTAACCTTTAAATAACATTATAATCAGGGCAAGAAAACTGGAAATTTCAACATTTTCTAAACATTTCAAAACAATGTTCCCACAGTGCCTCAGTTTGTTATCTGGGATGGACTCTTATTTCAATCTTGCCATATAAGACTATTTGTTCATTTGTGAACAGTATGATGTCTCAAAATGCTATACACACACACACACACACACACACTGTGTTTGGTGTTTAGAGAGATTTCTTCCTTCAGAGAGCTATAAGAGGTAATGTAATACAGCCCTGCATTGTCTTGTGTTTTTCTGGAAGGCCAGACATGTTTCCCTTCACGTCCGCTTGACTCACCTTCTGCTGTGCTCGAGTAACGAGAGACTGAAATATCATTGTAGCGCAGGACCCCGATTTTGTCTGCACCTTTAATATAAAATGTAATATTTTATATATAAAAAACACAATATTTCATTATCTTGTGGTGTGATACTTATCAACCCATTTATTCGTTAGAGATGTGGTTAAGATGCTTTCACAGACCCCTTGTTTTAAACCTGTGTTGTTTAATGGGAGTTATTATTGCTCATATATGGGTCTGACTGTACTGACCTCAATATTCAGCTCGTTCTGTCTGAACGGATTGTTTAACTGTGAGGTCGACACAGACTGTACAGGCAGTCTTGTGAGATATGATTTGATTTTGCCTGTAAGAAGTGTTGAAACGACCATTAAACAAGTTCAGCTTGCCTGAAACACCAAGTTGTGATGCGATACTAAGACCAGCTTTCAGCTAATGTACTTTGCCTTGTTTTTGTTAACTACATACACATTCAAAGTAGTCTCTTAAAATGAAAGTGTGTGTGTGAGAGTGTGAGTGAGAGTGTGTGTGTGTGTGTGTGTGTGTGTGTGTGTGTGTGTGAGTGTGTGTGTGTGTGTGTGTGTGTGTGTGTGTGTGTGTGTGTGTGTGAGGGTGTGAGTGTGTGTACCTGTGTTGTTTAATGGGAGTTATTATTGCTCATATATGGGTCTGACTGTACTGACCTCAATATTCAGCTCGTTCTGTCTGAACGGATTGTTTAACTGTGAGGTCGACACAGACTGTACAGGCAGTCTTGTGAGATATGATTTGATTTTGCTGAAATAGCACAAAGTCTCCTGTGAGGGGTAGGTTTAGGGGTAGGGTTGGTGTAGGGCAATAGCATATACGGTCTGTACAGTATAAAAACCATTACGCCTATGGAGAGTCCCCACTTTTCACAAAAACAAACCTGTGTGTGTGTGTGTGTGTGTGAGTGAGTGAGAGTGTGTGTGTGATTGAAATGTTGACCCAGCCTCCGTCTGCATGCATGCCGATTGCAGAAGCGGGCGATTGCTTCATTGTGTCAGCAGAAAGACATGGAAAGACCTATTTTCCAAGAAGTGACATGGCTTCTCTTGTGTGTCCCTCCCTCTTCTCTGTGTTTCTCCAGATCGAGAGGCTGGAGGGCGGTCTGGCGGCGGCGTGCGGTGCTGATGGTTCGCTGCTGGGCTCGGAGGACGCCGGTCTGGACCCCCAGCGCACACGGCAGGCCATCGCACAGCTGCAGCAGAAGATCCTGAAGCTTACGGAGCAGCTGCGCATCGAGCAGGCGGCCCGTGACGAGAATGTGGCCGAGTACCTCAAACTGGCCAGCAATGCCAGCGACAAACAGCAGAGCTCCCGCATCAAACAGGCACGACACCTGCTTACTGTCATCATCACTATGTGCACATGTGACCTAAAATCAAAAGAAGGCAACTAGAAAGGATTTTGAGCATGAAAATTAAGCTTATTATTTTTTTACCATTAATACATTTACAGTGGTGGCCAAAATGAATAGAGCACTAGTATTTCAGCAGCTAAAAAATGGTTTTAAGTCAGTTATTTCTATCTTTTGCTGTAGTGTGTCAGTGGGAAATATCAGTTTACATTTCCAAACATTCATTTTGTCATTACAGTTTTTCTCAATCGAGTTGACACGTGTCTCCAAACTCAGGTCACTGTTCTCAAAACTGTTCTCAGTTAATCATACACTCAACACAGGCAATGCAGCTTTCCTAATCGTTTACACATTTATCACAATTGCTTCAGAGTAATAATAAAAGGGAAAGTATACAAAGAGCAAGAACAAATATGCAAAATAATAATAATAATAATAAAATATAAAAGAAATACAAATAAAAAGGGGGAGGGGGGTAAAGTGTATGATTAACGGAGCAGTTATCAGTTTAGGGCCAATCGAAAAGATACCACGTTCATTTGATCGAATGACAAATTTCAGGGTTTTGTTTGTTGTGTTTGGATAAATAGTTTGTGATTTGTGTAAAACCTTTTTTGGTTACACTTTACTTGAAGGGGTGTGCATAAGACTGACATGGCACCTTCATAATCATGACATGACACCTACATAATTATGACATGACACATATCATGAATATGAAGGAGGTTTTATGCATGTTTATGACAACTGTCATTAAGTGTCATTCGCTCAGTTATGTAATTTTTAATGCAAAGATGACATTGTTTGAGATGTCTTTGTTATGGGCTATGGTTAGGGGTAAGGGTAGGGT